ACAAAACCCCCAACAACCCTTATGTTTTATTTAAGATGCACTGAAAATTCAAAATGACTGATTCAACATTTTTACATCATAATTTTTTTTCTTTCTTCCTTTCTGATTTTTCATATTTCATCTTGAAATTGTTGTATAAATTATACTTGACCAGTGGTCAAAATATCTGACTGAAATTGTTAATGTTTTCAGAACACATTTCCTCCCATCCTCTCCACGATCCTGCCAAACTGCTCTGTTCTCCAGACACAAGATGATTCCGGTTAACAGCTCCACCTTAATGATATGAGAAGCACCGCTTTCCCCAAGATGAGCACAGCAGTCCCAGCAGAGAACTCAAAGTTATGGGTCATTTTCTTCATTAAAATGTTGATCAGATTAAGCTGGTTGTTTCAGTGACTTTTGCTCTTGTTGATGGGGGAAGTGTGCCTCCTGCTAAGTAACAACCCTCAGCGCCTTTCTAAAAGGCCCTTAGGGAAGGAACAGTCACATGCCTTCCCAGAAGGGTGGTAGTCTCAGCTTTCACTCTTCCCATTTTTCTATTCTCCTGCTGGGGTCCGGAAAGGCCCCTCAAGAACCCCTGCATTCTGGCTGTTTCTGTTGTTTCCTTAGGTGCCACCCAGGGTCCCATTGCTGAGGAAAGCAAGCCTGTGAGACGCCAAAGCTTTTTGTATGGTTTGTAGCAGAGTTGGAAGAAACTGACTCTTCTTTGTGTCCCTTCTGTTAGAATGTCATGATTCTTGTGTCGTGATTCTTGCGCCTTTACAGAGTTTACTGTGGTTGCCATAACAAAGTCCCAGAAACGGACTGGCCTAAATAACATAAATTTATTGGCTCAATTCTGGAGGCTGGAAGTCTGAAATAAGGTGCTGGCAGGGAGAATGGGCTTGGAGGGAGAATCTATTTCATGCTCTTGCTTCAGTTCTGGTGGTTTGCTGACAATCTTTGGCCTTCTTAGCTTGTAGAAGAACCTCCCTGATGCCTGCCTTCATCTTCGCATAGCATTCCCATTATGTGTATGTTTGTATCTAAATTATTTCTTTTTATAAGGATCCCAGTCATAGTCCATTATGACTATTTATCTTTACTAATTATATCTGCAACCACCCTATTTCCAAATAAAGGCACATTCTGCACTACTGGGGGTTTGGACTTTACCATATGAATTTGTGTGTGTGTGCGCGTGTGTGTGTGTGTGTTTCTAGGGGGCACAATTCAACCTATCACATCATTCCTTCAGGGATTTGGAGTTTTCTTTGTAAGGCATGAAAATGTTTTGGTCATCGATGGTTGATGAATGTAAAATAAGCAAAGTTTAAGTGGAAAAAGCACTATTCATATATATGGTAGCTATCATTAAGGAGTAATGTGTTCATATGTATGTGGACTGTCCCACCAGGAGGTCTTTTTTTAACCATTTAAGCATTTATTGAATTAAATGGTTCTAGTTTTACCGCTACTTATAATAGTTTTACTTATTTAAGCCAGTGCAATCAACAAGAGGGTGAACAGAGGCTGTCCTCTGAATTCTTGGTGTAAACAAAGGGACAAGAAGCCACAGAAGGCATGCTGCTCAGGTCTAAGTAACCCAACATGTAACAAAGTATGCTTCACTGGTTAACTAGGCCTCAAAAAGGTGAGCCTTGGCTATGTAGACTTCAGAAAAATGTAGAGGCCTCATTTTATTCTTGGGAGCAAAGAGTTATAGTATAAGTCCTTTGGGAGCCCAAGTGTTGCTTTACATAGGTTTCTTAAGGCCTCTACATGAATGAGTGCTTCAGGCAAACCACAGAGATGGCATTTTGGTGGCTGAAGGTCTACAGGCATTGCTTCTGGAATCTCAAGTCTGGAGACAGGGTAGCTGGGGATGCTACTTGTGCCACTCAGGTCACATGCCCATCTTCTGTCCTGTTACTTGCTTGGGGAACCAGGGGTGTAAACTCCTGAATCCAGCTGTCCTCCTTCAACACTATGGCAACACTGTGGTTTTGCTGCCGCAGCCTTTCCTGGGCATTCTGTAGAATGCTGTTGACCAAGACAACTCATCGCCTGGCATTAAGCAGCTTCTTAACCTAGGGGTCCAGATCCACACTATCTTCTGATCCTCCTTGATACGGCACAGTTCTGTAGCGAGGTTACCAGTCTGTTCTCGGAGCTAGCTCCTCTTGGCTCTCTCTGACGGTGTGGACGTGGGAATCGAGCTGCTGCCCTGCCGGCTGCAGGAATTAAGGAGATCCTCCGCAAAGAGGTAGCAGCCTGTGGGCCCCACCACCGGCATCTCTGCCCCGGACATGGTGGCAGAGCCAACCCCACCATCACAAACAGTCCCGACCGTCTTCAGGCTCCTTTTCCTGAAGTCTCAGAAAGATGGGGACAGTCACTGCATTTTCCTCCATAGGAAATTGTTGGTGTTATAAGGAGGCTGGTGTTGAACAAAGTAAAAGGCACCCCAGCTCTCATCTTCCTGCGTTCAGAGGGTCCATTCTGCATTTCCCAAAGAAAATGAATCACAGAAGTCCTTTTATTCATCCTTCAGGTCTTCTTATACCTGACTACAGATTTGACTGTATTGTTCTTGGGGCAAAGAATCACAGAATCATGGGAGAAACTTCAGGATCCTCTATTTGGAGTAGATCCTGGTTCAGCACTTTTTAAAAAGCTGGTATATGTTTCCAATACCTAATAATTGCATTCATTTTGGGAAATAGCTATATATATTAGGATTAAGTAAGGTCATATAAATTTATTTATCATATCTTGATCATTTTTGATTTCCTTTCCTTTCACTCCTACCTTTCCTTCTGCCCCTTCCCTTTGACCCCTTTCCCTATCTCTAAAAGTCTACCTTCCTGTTTCTTGTCATCTGTTCTTTATGAACACTTTGGATGTTGTTCTGCTTCCTCCTTCATAGTTCTTCACAATGATGAGCTCGAAGTCTCTGAGTGCTTTTCCTCTATGTTCTTATTAGCCTGGATGTAGCTCATGATAGTATAATTATTTATTTACTTTTGTTTTATTCCAGTGACTCTGGGAACTTTTTGATGCTAAGATATGTGTATTTGCTTTTTTATATGGAAGCCTAGAACGATGACTCTCATACTTTAGCATCATCTTAGTCATCCGGAGGCCTTGTTCGACTACTGGCTGATGGGCTTGCCCTAGGATTTCAGTCAGGTAGGTGGGAGTTAAATTAATACCATTCATTTCTAACATGCTCAAGTTCTCAGGTGTTGCTTATGCTGCCTATCTTGGGACTACATTGTGAAAGCAATTGACCTAGACTAGTTCTGGCACACAGCAAGTATATAATACATATTTTAGGGTGCATGAATGATTATGAGGAAGATTATCTGTTATTTGACATTAGGAGATCACGGGAAGAAGAAATATGATGCTTACCTTCCCCTTCTTGTTCTCTGGGATGATGAGGTTAATATTAGTACTTGTATTTACTGAAAGCATTTTGAAAACTGCTACAGCTTTGACTGGTCCTGTTGATGTTCATTCCTTACTTCCAAGGCTTGTTGGGAGAGTGAGTTCAGGGCTTGCTAAGTGCAGCAACAGAGGAAATAAACAAGTTTTGTGAGCTGCAATTTTGAGAAAAAGATAATTGAATATTTGTGCTTTCCATGTCAGAGAGAGCTGAAAAATCTGGTTTTTTATTATCTTCCACCGCACAATTTGGTCTAAACCCTTTAAGGGAAGCACTGTCTTCTTATATATTTTTCTAATCTAATAAAATCAATCACAAATTAATACAACCAAAAGCCAAGGAAACTGGAATAGCAGTTAAAAAATTTACCCAATTTCTTAAATGCTAGTGAATTTAAAAGTGCATTCATGCAAATCATACATTCTAAAAAATTGTTTTCATTAAAATTTCTCATTAATTTCATGGAAAAATATATTCTGTTTAAAGCAAATTATTAAATATAATAATTAATAGATTACTATTCCTTGTAATTTTTCTGTGCTAATGGCTCATTCCCAACACTTGCCCCTCTGGAAACAAAATCTTTCCTTGAGTCTGTGTTGAGCCATTAGAATGTGATGCCTGTTGCTATGGTTTGAATATGGTTTGTTCTCCTAAAACTCATACAGGGGTATAACCCCCAGTATGTATTATTAAGAGGGCAGAAACTTACTGACTATGGTGGTTAGAGGTAGGATCTTTGGGAGCTGATTAGTATTAGGTAAGGTCATCAGGGTGAAACCCCCATGACTGAATCTTGGTATCTTTATAAGAAGACAGAAAGATACCAGAAGAGACATATATTCACATGTGTGTCCCTTGTCTTTTGCCATGTGATACCTGTTCCATCTCAGCACTCTGTCAACAAGAAGGCCATCATCAGATGAAACTGCTAGACATTGCATATTCGGAAAGTTGAGCGAAATAGACATCTTTTTTTTATAACTTACTGAGTCTGTAGTATTGTGTTATCAGCAACAACAAATGAAGTGATACAGAAACTGTTTTCCCAATCACCTGAAAATTGAGGTGGTTTCAAATGGATCCACTGCAAAGGAAGGAGTTAGAATTAGAGGAGAATCTACTAATTCAGTTGTAGAAAAAGCCACAGTAGTTGATTGTCTGTGGTTCTTGAGAGTGAATAGGAGGCTGAACTTCGATAGAAAAAGGGGAAATGTTAATGAGGAAAAGGGGATTGAAGATGTAAGAGAAAGAACAGCATGCTAATGGAAGCAAGGGATAATGAATTTAGATTTCAAATGGAAGAGGCAGTTTTAGAATGAAGAAGGTTGTCTTAGTCACTTTCTTGTTGCTGAAGCACAATACCTGACACAAATTTAAAAAGGAGAGATTTATTTTGGCTCATGGTTTCACTCCTTGGTAGCTAGCTTCAAAGCAGGAAGGACATGGTGGAAGGGTCTGATGGAGGAGAGATGCTCATGTCATGATGGCCAGGAGGCACAGAGCAAAGGGAGGAGCTGGGGAGAGTCACACCCCAGGTGATTCATCGCTTCTGATCAGATCCACCTGCCAGCAGCACACTTTTAAGGAATGTTTGTAGATTATATGGCACAGCCAATATTTATGCCAACTTGTATAGATTTGTATCAGTGCAGAAGAGAAATTTTCATACATTTGCAAAGTGGCAATCTGGAAGAAAATTATCACACAACCACTTTTCCAGCTCTGCTGGTTGATTTTGGGTATCAGTTTGACTGGATTAATAATTTTCAGATATCTGGTGAAGCATAATTTATGCTCAGTCACTGCATTAATTACTTTCAGTGGTTCAGTAGTAACTGGATCTGTCCCTCTTCTGCTTAAAGGGAAGCCCAGATGGTTCTATCTTGGTATAAATGCTTGGGCTGCCCAGGTGTGTCTTGAGGGTGTTTTTAGAGGAGACTGGTATGCAAATCAGAGCACTAAGTGGAAAGAACCACTCTCAGTGTGGGTGGGCACCATTCAGTACACAGGGGGCCGGGATGAAACCAGCAGGAACAAGGGCAAAATCCACCTGACCAGATGCCCTTCCTGTCCTGCCATAGAACTCTGAGACTTGTATCAGTGGGGTCTCAGGCCCTTTTGTCTTTTACTGAGAATTACACCATTTGCTTCCTTGATTCTGAAATGTTAGAGTGTAAGCAGAGACATGCTGTTAGTTTCTTTTCTTTTCCAGCTTGCTGATGGTCCATCATGGGATTTCTTGGCCTCTACAATCAATGAAGTCAACAACCCTGGTATATACCTTCTCATTTTTCTCTTTATGTGTGTGTGTATGTACTATTGGTTCTCTTTAGACAACCCTCATTAAACCACCAGTTGTATTACAGTGTAATTTGTACCTCATTCAGCTAAAAGCAAAACATCCATGGTCCTACTTTTTTAACTTTCACATATTTATACTTCCTGTGAATGCTCTTGTTCTGTTGCATGTGTTCAGAGGTAGATCTTTTGGAAGGTGATTGGATTGTGGAGGTGCTATATTCACCAGTGATCATTGATGAGTTCATAGTTGAAGTGCTGTTAGGAATTGGGGGCTACTTATAAGAGGTGAGTCAATGGGGGCTGATTTAGAAGGGTTATTCTTGTTCCCAGCTCCTCCATGCCCTTCTCTGCTTTCTGATCACCATGGGTTGAGCCGCTTTCCTCTACTATGCCTTTCCACCATGCTGTATCTGCTTTGGAGCCAACTGACAGTGCCTGGACTGAATTCTGACACCGTGAGTCAAAATAACCCTTTTCTCCCCTAAGTTGCAGGTGTTTGGTATTAATACAGCCCTCTAGTGAAAGCTGTTAGGAACACAGTTATGTTTGAACAAGTTGTATTTAGTATTCATCAGAGCAAGGGTGAATGCACACCATGGAGAACCATGGCAGATGTTAGTAACAGGGTGTTGGGATGGATTTATAGGAGTTGGGCTTTGGTTAAGTAATTTAGGAAGGATCCAAAGTTGTGGGGTTTACTCTGGAGTTGGTACAACCACTAAAATCAAGTTCAATCCTGTGACTGAATTTCTTAGTAGGAGGAGTAATAAAGCCAAAACTGTAACTGAGGATGAAGCAGCAGTTGCTCCTATTAACCTGGAGAGGGGAGTTTTGGTATTTTGTGGCTTTTTTGTCTATGCTCAGAGAAAAATTTATAATTACTGAGCGACCATGCTTTGTCTTGTTCCATGTGGTCATAGAATGGGCTGTCTGATGATAATTTTCTATGAAATTGTTTATGATCAACAAGAGCATGTCAAAGGTCAGCTTATCATTTAGGTCAGCTTCTGGGATGTCAGGCAGCATCTCTTTTTCTCAGCATGAATTTATCTACAGGAAGAAAGGTAAGGTTGCTGACTGTAATCTTAACCTTCTGAGAGTGTGTGTTGTTATCCATTTTCATATGTGGAATCTAGCACTGTGTGTTTTGGATGCATAAACTAAGAGTGGTGCAGATGCTGTACTAATTATTCTCACTTTCTTATGCAGACTCCCCTCCTTTTTATCTTAACTATAGAACCTGCTTTGTGAATTTTGGAGCAAAGCAATTTTAGAGCAAGAATAAACAAATTAACACCTACACAGTACACTTACCACATTAGAGTCTTGCCTAATAACAACTGCAGACCAGTGACCAGGACTGCAGACTATACAGTACAACATTAGGATTCTCAGATCTTTTTGGTTGTCCAGAAGTTCAGAAGGTTGGAGTGTTGAGAAAGTGAGATAATAATTCTAGAGTACAGTGGTTTCAGATTGCTTGGTGATAACTATGACTTCTATTTGTTAATCTGCAGTCCTCTTCAAGAAATTTGCTAGTACTAATTTTCTTCAAATTATGAAAAGCTGCATGTTACAAAGTAAGTTTTCTTCTGCTTCATGGAATACCTTCCAAAGTCCTGAATTCACCCTTAAGAAATTGGAAGAGAAAAATGTTGATTTGTGGTCTCTGTTCAGAAGCAGTTGCATGTAGAATGTTGCTAATTAGCATTGAAAACAAGAACCTTTTAAACAAAGCATCCAGAAATTACATTAAGTGACATAACTTGTATTTATGTAATTTGGGCCTTAGAAAATGAATGATTTCTCAACTATGCAAAGTTTTATGTATGATCTTGCCAAGAAAAATGACTCAGTAGAAAGAATAGATCAGATGTTGTAAAGCCTGGGATTTTAGTCTTTGCTCTGCCTCTAAGTGACTATGAGTAAGTCAATGATTTTCCTGGGTTTTTGTATCTTCATCTGTAAGATGGGCATACTAATGCCTGTGTTTCTTATATTACAGTTACTAGGTCAACTAATGAAACCAAAAATACGGTTTCAAATATCATTGGCCTCTACAGGAGGTGGTCCACTTACAGAAAGCCATCAATCTAATGACTCTTGTACAGGAGAGGACACTGGCAGTTTCGTGAAATGTGAAAGTGAGTCAAGCATAGGTTAGGTGTAGAGAATGTAGGGAGTAGTAGCTCTGCATAAGCTGTTCTGAGCCAATGGTGATGGTTGAGGGTAGTATAGGGAGGAAGAGAAGAGAAGGGAAAAAGGAATAATCAGTAAGAAGGCAAGGGGCCCAAAGTACACTGGAGGTGGAAACCTGGATGAGTTATCAAGAATAGTGGTGTACAATGTGTAACTTAGATTTATCTGTAGTAGCAATACAATGCTCTACTCAGGACCTACATTGAAAAGTTTTCAAAACATAAGAGCTTTCAAGAGTGTCCTCTTGAAATGGAGATGGGAATGGGCTGAGTTGAGGAGAATCTAGGCAAGGAAAAAAGAAAACTGCTAAAAAAGGAAGAACAGAACAAAAACTCAGGAGAGGCAGGAAACTCAAAATAGAAATGACCAGAAGAACTAAAGTTCCTTCAGGAAAACAAAGAGATCTTGCGCCAGCATTCCACAGTAAAGAATGAGAGGTTGAGCCAATTGCACAGACCTTAAGGGACAGGATGACCAGACAATATGTGGGCGAAAACTATGAAAGACTAGGAAAAAATGCAAAGCAACAACAATGTAGGTTTTTACCATAACTTGGACAGTGAGATTAAATGTCTAGATAATTCAAACCTAAATAAATTTAAGAACTCAAAACTCTGCTTCTAACTGGAGCTGATTTAGAAGAGATTTAGTAGCCCTAATGTTGTGTTTTAATATCTCTGGTTAATAAATAAATTTGTAGGACCTATAAGGAAAGCAAACATGTACTTCCTTTTACTTGGTGTCAAAAAATACAACTACTTTGAAGCAGTTCTTTGATATTTATGACTATCAGTATAGACTCAAAATTTTCAAATTTATCTTGTATTAGTTTATAAACTGGGATTTTTTTAAAAGCTGGAATCATATGGAGAGTTTGAGTTTCCTAAGACTTTCCTTGAGACATGATTGACATATAGTATTCTCTAGTGCCTAGGAGAAGGAAAGAAAGGGGTACAGAGATGTTTGGGGCCTGTGTCTTCCTTTGAACTCCTGGAGCAGGTAAAACTCTCTATGGTAGCCACTATCTTTGCTACTCAAAGTGTGATCTGAGGACCAGCAGCATCAACGTTACCCACCCAAGACCTACAGAACTGGAACTTGCATTTAAACAAGATTCCCAGGTGATTTTTATGCAATTAATATTTGAGAAGCTCTCTTGCAGGAAGGGGTAGGCAATTTTTTTCTTAGTTGTATGAGTGCCAGGTATGAAAAAGGGAAGGAGTGCCACTGCTGCCATATTCCTTCAGGGATATGGTTGGGAAGACAATGTGAGTTAAGCAGCTTAGAGATAGAAAAGGGACAGTAGGGAGCTGGCCACACTTGTCAATTTTACAAAGGCCTCCTTGGTCTCTCAAGATGTTCATCACTGAAAAGAGATTAACAATTGCCCAGCAGCAAACTAGAATTTTAAAGCTGACAAAGACATTTTGGAAAGAAATACAGTTGCTATATTACTAATAAAGAGCCAAGGAAGGAAAAACAGTAATATTTGGCTTCTGAGGTCAAAAAAGAGTGTCTTCTCTTTCCTTTGTATCATCTTAAAATTCCTGGTAGAGTGGGTCCCTCACTAAGTGAGCACTCAATAAATGTCATTAGCAGTGATTTGTACCACAAGTGGCAATAATTTTAATGCAGCTCATTCCAACAAATGTCCTTTTTCTCATGTTAACTTTTATATACCTAGCAACCAAAACCATCTACTGCTGAGTGCACAGAATATTGGGCTCTGGATAAGTGTGATTAGATATTGATTTCAGAATCCCACAAACATTTAGTGATGCAGAAACTGCTGGGCCCTTGATAATTATGGATTATGGGACTGACGCTGGCAAAATTCCAACATTCACAGTTTTGGGGAAAAAATTCTAAAAATGTCTATGGCCCAGGCTATGGGTTTGACCCTTGTGCATAGCCCTGACATATTTTTTGGTTCGCTGACTGTGCTTCTTGCTTGGTAACTTGTCTTTATAGACATATACTTTTGGTCACCAAAGAAACTGGCTAGAGAGGTGAGATGTTTAGTGCAAACTCATCCTAAGTGCTGGGAAAAAACAACTGAAATGTAGGTAAGACATCTGCAATGAAAAATAATATAGTTATTACTTTTATATTTTCTGTAGTATCAAAGAACTGGAAAATATCTAAGTTCAAATAAATAGTGAGAGACTAAGAAGGGCTGATGTATTCAAAAGTTGTGAATAATTAAAAATGGCTGTAAGTTTTTGACATTTGTCCCTCAAGACATGGAGTCTATGATCTTTCTTTTTGTATTTATCTAGGTAGGCTCTGCAACTTTTGATCACTGGAATGCAGTTTGCAAGTTTAGAGTCCCAAGCATTCAGATTTAGCAGCTTCCACTTCCAGCATCTCAGACAGAACTCATTCCCATAGGGCAGCTTCATGTGGGTTCTATGGTAAACTGTCTTGGCTGAGCTCCCAGCTAACAGTCAATATTAGCCAGCCGTGTGAGTTGCCATCTTAGATGTTAGGTCTGAAATACTAAAGGATTTGCATTTTGGGGTAGATTCTATTGTAGCAATAGATAAACAGAACACAAGTACCTTGTTTAGAGTAGCAGGTCACTCTAAAGCCATGAACCCAGACCCAGAAGGGGCATCTACACACTCTGAGCTCGTTCACTGGTGACTACATGTGTTCAGTCCCCTCTCTAGGGAGGAGTCATTCTGGCAGGGAGTTGAGAAGAGCACCAAATGATGTCCATCAAGTTTCTGTGTTATTGCCTCCTCTGATAAATGGAATTCCCAAAGGACAATGACTGTGCTGAAGTCCGTATTTTAATATTGTGTTTCTTCTTACATTTTACTTTTAGGGAAAATTTGTCAATTCATGAGATTGGCAGCTGGGATTCTTGTAAAGTATTGGGCTGAAAGTCCACAAGTAAATTTGGTCTCTATGTCTGCTTGGTTCTAACTCCAGATTCTCAGCCTTGGCCATATATTAAAGTCACCCAGTATTAAAAAAAGTAAGACTCCTCATGTTTTGGTCTCATCCTCAATTAATTAAATAAAAAAAATTTGTGGTTGGAGTCTCAGCATTAGTATTTCAGAAATTCTCTCCTATGATTCATAGATGCAGGGAAGATTGAGAAGCATGCCTATCATGATGTTTTAATTGGTCTCATTTGTGGTACTGAGAAGAGTACTATACATCCTAAGAGTGCATATGTATTCCAAATTTTACTTATTTTTACAGTCTCAGTGCACATATTTGTATATTATATACATAGATGCATGTA